TGTCCAGCACCTCAGACCATTTACCCATTTGTTGACGAAAATTGTTTAGGTCTCACGGGATAGAAGAATTGAAAGTGCCATTTTCTGGCCATTTGGATCCATTGTCTAATTTGTGTTGAGGCCAGGCCATGTTAACAGGGGGAAAAAAAAGACCTTTAGGTCTCAGATCAGGCCACAGTTGAAGAGGTTTTAGGTTTTTTGGATGCAGGCTAGAAGCGAAGCCAGAGGAATATATGGCAGAATGCTGCCATACTGAAAGTAATGAGTCAAGAGGAGAGAAGTGGTGTAGGCATGAGAAGGAGTGAGCCGCTGTCAGGGTTTGCAGTAGGCATCCCTGAGTCCTGGGCCGGAACGTGGCTGAGTGATCACAGCAGGCGTCCTCGACATTGACCAGACACCAAGGGAAGGCTGTCTTCCCGGGACCGTGACTGACGTCGGAGTTTTTGAGCAAGAGGGAGAGACTTGTCTCCTCTGTTTCTACAAATAGAGAGTGTCGCCTTTGTCTCTGCTAGAAAGATTTAAAGGAAAGGAGAGAGAAAGGAGAGACTTGTCTCCTTTGCTTTAAAGGAAAATAGAGGAAGAGATGGCTTACCCGATCTGAAGGTGGCGTGAGGGTTGTTGGGCTGGTCTGATGTGCTGCGGTCTTACTGCACTGAGGTCGCAGGTGGATCTTTTCACAGAGGGAGAGCAGGGACAGGGGCTGGTCTCCCCAAAGGAGTACCCCGTCCCGGGTTTTGGCACCAAATGTTAAACACGCGCTCTGAATGAAGAGACCACCTAAACAGGCTTTGTGCGAGCAACATGGCTGTTTATTCTCCCGGGTACAGGTGGGCTGAGTCCAAAAAGAGAGTCAGCAGAGGGTGGTGGGACATGAGGTGGTTTTATACGTTTGGGGTAGGCAAAGCAAAGTTACAGAAGTTACAGTTCAGGGCAGTTTTTGCAAGTTGGGAGGGGGTCACAGGGTCTGGAGTCACGAGGCTGACCAAGGTCAGTTATGAAGTCCAATTGCCTTATCAGTTGAGATGGGAAGTAGGCATCACAAGGGTTGATCTTTCTTCTCCTTTGTGTGGTTTTCCAGTTACTTCAGACTTTCTAGTTCCAGGAACGAATCTGGAGTATACGTGCAGGTCACAGAGGTTACTGTGGTGTAGTCCATCGTGCAGTCAGTCAGCCTAAAAGACCTTACATTGTTAAACCAAAGAAAGCTCACCGATCACATGGCTCATTCAGAGGGTTCTGGCCTCCATCCCTCAATTTCAGTGCCTGTATCACATCCCTGAGAGATTGAGTGCTATAGATACATAGCCTCTCAGGAATATAATGTGGGGTACTGGAATTGAGGGATTCCTGGGGTACTTAGCCAAACAAGACCACAGCCAGCCACAAGGGCCCATTCTTCATTTATATCTGACTACTTTTTGAGTCCTTGTGGCTCTAAGAACCCCAGTCCCAAATCTTTTTCCTCGCTTTGATTACCAGTGCAGTAATCAAAGAATAGCTGCAAGTGGTTTGAACTAGGGCAGGGTTTGAGACAGACTTAGATATGGCAAAATGAACAGAACTTAGGTATTCACTCATTCAACAAATACAAAATCCCTGTTGTGAGCCAAGCCCTGTCCTGGATGGCTGGGGTAAATTAGGAAATACAGCCACAGCAGTCTCTGTCTTCATTAGCCTCAGTGTCAGGAGGAAGATGGATTTGATGTAGGGATGTGAATGAGGGATTCAGAATTACCTCCTGGTTTCTATTAAGTTGGTGCAAAATTGCAGTTTTTACCATTACTTTTAATTACTTTTGCACCAACGTAGTAGTCAATAGGGTGCTGTTACTGGGGCAAGAGGTGGAGGGAAAGGAGTTTGGGGCCGGGGCCACGTAGCTGTCAGGAAAACAGTGTTTTGAAGAAGTCAGAGGAAGAAGCAAAGCAACAGTTTCTCACTAGACGCCCCCGCACCCCTGGCACAGGTTGGCAGGTCAGAGCTCAGAGGAGCGTCCCAGGAAGCTGGACTGCATGGCTTCTCAGGAGACCTGACGGGTGCTCTGGGATGCAGGGAGCCACATGGCCAGCTGCAGCCAGGTCACCAGAGGTGGACATGGCGCCTCCACAGGTCAGCAGGGTAGGTAGAAAAGAAGGCAGTGCAAAGTGGGAACTGCTGGGACAGACAGACTGGAGCTTTCTGGGCATGTCTGTGTGTCCATTTGCATGCCTGACTGCATGACCTTCTGGGCGTAATGGCCTCAGTCTTGCTTTGTAGAGGAGGAACATGTAATTTTGTCTCTACCTTTTACAGTTCCCAGTTGGGATAGACCCCTGTAACCTAAGACAGATGAACAGGAGGAAAACAGGCTTAGGAACACGTGTACATGATGTATTACAGGACACAGCCAGAGAAATGAGTAAATCTCAGAGGTGGCTTTGGCTTCAGGCTTGAATACCCCCATGGTCCAGTGAAACAGAGAAAGAAGGGTGTGGGGAAGGCCAGTTATGGGAGATGCCCAGAAAAAGCACCTTAAACAAGAGTAGCATTTGTTACTGCAGACTTAAGTCAGTGTCTTCTAGATTGGTCATAGTCTCCAGGGATTCAGTCATTCCTCTCTCTTAGCCACCCTTAGAAATGGAGATTTTCTTTGTAAATTTACTTTTCCATACACGACAGTAACTTCTGTTGTCAGAGGTTCTTCCTGTGTCTGTGGTTTCTCAAAATAATCAGCTCAAAATATTCTTTATGCTAAACAAGCGTATTTTGAGGTGGCATATGCTGGTCTCCTACACCTCCTGCCTTCCGAGTCTCTCCCAGGTTTCCCTCCTGTCCAGCTCCCATCTTTGCAGGAAACGGAACTCAGGGGAGATAGTTCCCAGTCTCAGGTGGGACAGTGGCCCCAAGCTGAAAGCACAGAACCCGCACAGCCGCTCATTCCTGGAGGCCGTTTTGATGCCTCACCATGCTCATGAGTCTTAGCAAGGGATATAGCAAGTCAACCTGGGAAGGATCAGGGCTAAAGATAAAATTTGGGAGAGTTGTGACCAAATGCAGAGATGGTAAAATAAAGGTAGGAGAGCTGGGGAAAGAGTACAGGCAAAGGAAGGAAGTCCAGAGCAGGTGGAAAAGGGGAGAAGGCACCAGACAAAGATGGAAAGTGAGTGACCAGAGGGAGACCAGGCAGACAGACAGGGTGGGGCCTTGAAGCCAAACAAGGGAGTGGTGAGTAGTCAGCAAGGGGCCTGCACACCTGGGAACTCTGGGGAGAGAAAAAGGCATGGTGGGCCTGGGATATGGAGCCCACTAAAGAGCTTAGCACCACCGGATTCATGTGTGTGGAAACAAGCCAGTCAGAGTGAGCTGAGAGTGTGGGAGAAGAGAGATGCAGGTGGTGAGTGCAAATAGCTAGAAAAGTTTGGCTGTGATGCTGGAGAGGAGTGGGCAGCTTCCTCTCCTGGGGAGAGGAGGAGTGGCATTTTGAGTTGAGAAGTCTTGCTTCCTAATACAAGTGAGGAAGGTTCGTTCTCATGTGCATCCTAAAGCTGTCTGCTTGGTTTCATCTACTGAGCCTCAGCTCTGTGCTAGGAAAAGATGCTTGGGAAAGAATCCAGGAGATGTGGATCTTGTCCCAAGAGGCAGGCAAAGGTCTCTGTAGTGGGGATGGAGGGCCCTGTGGGACTTGGAAGTGGGATGGGATGTGCCCAGGTAGCTGAGATTCTGAGAAGGGAGGCAGCATCAGAAAGAGCGGAATAGTCTCCAGGCAGAGGTATGTAAAAAGGGACAGAGAGGCGGGGCCTCAGGATCTTCTGGGAATTATAGTCTATGTCCCTGGGTATCCTAACTGAGCCACTTTCACAAAGGCGGCTGCTCTGAGCAGACGGGGAAGGGCAGAGCCCCAGCATACAAGGTGTGCCCCCATTCCTTCCCCATGGCTAAAAGCCCCCGGGGGGGCACAGCTATACAGATTGGCTCTGTTGGGGTTTGGGGCACATAAACACTTTCCCATGTAGCTTAATGACATAAGAAAACCCGTAGCTCTGTGTTCTGTGGGGGGAGGAATAGATGAGGAATGGGGGGAGGACCAGAGGAGGAGAACTGTAAAAGCCAGAGGGGATTTCTTTGACCCTCAGGAGGATTTACCTGGGCATGTGCTCTGAAAGCCAAGCAGTCCTGGAAGGAGAAGCAATGAATCATTTATGATTGTTTTCACTTTGTATTCATTAAAGGCCTCTGCACTATTATTATGGAACCTTAATTGGCTTGGCACTGCCTCTCCCAGCCCCTGCTCCTCCCCCCTATTGCCATCAGAAATTCCTGGAGTGAGCAGGAGAGAGAACCCGGCCTGCGAACAGGTAGCTGGGCTAGAATCTACCCGGAAGATCAAATGAAATGCAGTTGCTTTGCTTTCTTCTCTCTGATCATATATTAATAAATGTATCTCATCGGGTTTTAGCTCTGCTCCCGGCACCTGCATCTCTTAGCCCTCTTTGCTTCCTCAGCCACCCCTTGCCCAGCCTTGCAGATGCAGTGACTTCACGCGTGACAGCGTGCAGCCTTTGTTCCAAGTGCCATGTTGAGCACCGAACCAGCAACAATATTCGATTTACCTGATTTACTTCTTTCAATACACTTTAGTGTAATTTTAATTGCGTAAAGGAGAGGACAAATTGGCAAGTAATTACAGTGTTAATTTGGCAATGTTTTATCATATTGTGGAAGTGCAGTTTCCTCTCTAATTGTGTTGTGGGGGACGAATTTGTCTGTGGTACAACTTACTGAGGGATTCTTGAGAATGGAAATGAAACACAAGAGACAGAGAAATTAGCTCCCCTCCCCGTAAATATTCTTGTATTTGCATGTATTTTGCAGCCTCCTTAAAAAAGCTAACTCGTTTATTCAGCCCTAATTAATGGAATGCCACAGAATGCATAACTGGACTGTGACAGATTCTGCTGATGGATGGCCTTGCCTTTGCAAACTGGAGATACCCCAGATAAAAGGGCTGAATGCTTCCCTTTCAGAATCTCACGGGCTGTGCGTGCCTCACCACCGTCCCTGCTGAGAATGCGACCGTAGTTCCCGGAAAATGCCCCAGTCCTGGGTGCCAAGAGGCCTTCCTCACCTTCCTGTGTGTGATGTGTATCTGCAGCCTGATCGGTGCCATGGCGCAGACGCCCTCTGTCATCATCCTCATCAGGTAAGCCGTTGGCACGGCCCCACCGCTCCTCCTTTCCACAGGTGTTCTACAGGTCTCCCGGGGACCAGAGCTTCCAACCCCATAGGAATCTCCCACCAGCCAGGTGAGCTAGGGCCTCAGCAAGGAGCGCAGCTTCTCTAGGCTGATAGAAATCAATTATGTTTGATAGGGGCCTCCCACCAAGAGAAGAAGGTAGGGCATGGGGGAGAAGACAGGACTTTCTTGTTCTCCCAGAAGTAGACCCTGCAGGCAGTTTTGAAAAGGATCCCGCATTGATCCTCACAGGAGGCAGCCTTGTTGGAGGGAAATGAAAATGGCCTCGGTGCCCAGCCCCTGCCACTGCTTAGCCCTATGACCGTGGGCACATTTCCTCTGAGACTTGTTTCTGAATCTGTAACTGGGACTGATATGACCAGTCCTGCCTGCCTCCTGCAGTGGGGCAGGACCCACTGTGTGTGCAAACCCAGTGGAGATGTAAGGGGTTTTGTGCAGTGGGGCTCATGGCAGGTGGGCAGTGGCCATTCTTGTACAAAGAGGTTATTGGAGACAGCCAACCGAAATTCTGTTGTTACCTGTCTCTGGGACCTGTCCTGGGGACAGGTGAGGTGCCTCAAAAATGAGCCATTAGTAATATTCTGAGTAACTTTTATCATTTGCAGAGTTGTGGAACCCAAAAGTGATCTGACACGTACCCTGCCCCTCATCTGAATCAGGAGTAGGCACACTACACAAAGACTCACCAGCTGGGCGTGGTGGCTCACGCCTATAATCCCAGCACTTTGGGAGGCCAAGGTGGGAGGATCACTTGAGATCAGGAATTTGAGATCAGTCTGACCAACATGATGAAATCTCATCTGTACAAAAAAATACAAAAATTAGCAGGGTACGGTGGCACATACCTGTAATCCCAGGTACTTGAAGCAGGAAAATTGCTGGAACCCAGGAGGTGGAAGTTGCAGTGGGCTGAGATCATGCCACTGCACTCCAGCCTGGGTGACAGAGCAAGACACTGTTTTGAAAAAAAAAAAAAGACTTGCCTTATTGGGATGCAGATTCCATAGCAAGGGTGGGAAATAAAGGTAGGAACGAAACGCATGGAGTAGCCAGTGTCCACGCACCTCACCTCTACTTCACCCAGCTTTTCTCTTCCTCTCACTTTGCCGACCACATTTCCTCATTCTTTGTGTTAGGAATGCCCAAGGAAGAGGATTTTTAATGTTACCTCAAAGGTCATGAGCAAGGCCTTGTGAATGCGTACAGCATTCAGGTGACAATAGCAAATTGCCATTTGATACTTACTAAGTTTGAAAAATAAATTTTAAAAATTGACACCCAGTGGTTACAAGGCTGAAGCAAAACTGGCAAAATTACCAGTTGCTGGTGGCATGGGAAAAGCCTATCATGCCTTTCACAAAAGCAATATGGCAACGAGAGCTAGGAGCCATAAACTTATTGAGACCCTTTTATGCAGTAAATATGCATAAATACCCCTGCCATTTATCTTAAGAAAATACTTTTCTCTGCAAGAGAAAGAAAAAGCTCAATGCAGACAGATTTTTATTACAACGTTAACTATAATAGCAGAAGAACCTGAGTTGGAATAGTGAGTTAAATTATGGCACTGCAGCCCCATGGAATAATGAACATTCTTAAGAATGTGAAAGCGTTTATGAAATGAACTATTGAATTTAAAAGTATTTAGAGAGGATAATTATGTGTAATATGCATTTGGACAAAACCCATCAGATCTCATGTACAGGTTTTAGGTGGCTGCCTTATGAGTAGTTTATTTTTCATTATTAGACATTCTTGTGAAGTTATATTGTGATATTCATACACCAAAGACACCAAGAAGGACGAAAAATGGCTAGTCCCTTACGCGCTTCCCCCACAAACTCCCCTGCAAAAACCCAGCCTCTATACACTGACTAGTGGTGACTACCAAACATGGAAAGTTTGTTGAAATTCTTAATCACTTCCCAATCTCAGCTTGATAAACAGCTCCCGGAGCTTTGCTGGAATATTTGATTCCCTCTGAATTAATCAGCTGCAGACGGTCTAAATGACCTAAGCCTATAACCCCACGCTGTGCTGGAAGTACACGCTGTGCATTGTGCACATACAGCAGGCCAAGACGCAGCTTTATGGTGCCACCTTCCTGGTCTGATTTGCCATTGCAGATGTCCCAGGCTGGCACAGGGGCACAGATGTGCACCAGCCTTTGTGCCATCTCGGAAGCGTGGACCCGCTGTCATGCCAGACAGGACCATCCCACCAACAGCAGTGCTCAGAATGTCTGGAAGTGAGGTTACAAGCTGATGCTCAGCCTTAGGCCCCACACTGGGCTCTGAGAGTAATTAGGTAGTGTTCTCAAGGTCACAGAGCTATACATGTAGAGTTAAGACTCCCTCCCCGCTGTTGCCCAGAACTTTCAATAGCGTTCGCACAGAGCCCTCTGTTCCTTCATAATTAAAGCCAGAAAGGATGATTCTTCTCATAGAAACCAGTTTCCCAAGAGGATGTGAAGGGAGATCTTAGCACCTTCCTCACTTGTTCCTAGTGACATGATAGCTGAAAGGAAACCAAATTTCAGGTGATAAATATTCTGGCTCATTATACCAGAGTGCTTTCTTGATAGGGAGAATTTGCCTCTATTTATGCATCTAAATCAAAGTGCAAAAACTGGAGCCATGGAGCCGATAATATCTTTGGAGAACTTGGATTTTGTGACGTGCACATTCTAGAGTACTGACTGTGTTTCTCTCCAGAGACACTGAACTTAACCTGGACGTCGTACTGGTGTCTTAGCCAGAGCCACATCCCCATCACTCATCAAAGTCGTGACCTGCTGCCCTGGGATGACTTACCTGTACTCTCCTCTTTATAATTAAGAGATGTGTTTTCCCTGAAAATCTTAGAAATGGGGGCCAAGACTGTAAAAACACCAGTGTCTTCATTCATTCAGGCTACTGTAACAAAATACCTAGATGCAGTGGCTTCTAAACAAAAGGCATTTATTTCTCTCGGTTCTGAAAACCAGGGCATTCAAGATCAAGGTGGCAGCAGGTGTGCTGTCTGGTGAGGGCTGGTGTCCTGGTTCAAAGATGTGCCTTGCTGCCATGCCCTGACACAGAAGAGGTAACTTTCTGGGGTATCCTTTTTAAGCGCACTGGACCTATTCACAAAAGCAAGAGTCCTCATGACCTAATAATCACCTTCCAAAGACCCCACATTACCTTAGGGGTTAGGTAACGTGTGAATTTGGAGAGGACACATCCTTTTTGAATTGTCACTGAGTTTGTCATACCAAGTAACCAAAGACATGCCCAGAGGCTCAGACCCAGTAGTAGCTCATTGGAGGGCTGAATGACCTCTGAGATCATTTAAGAACGTTATTCTAGCCAAGTCCATAGATAGGTTAAATATCCTGTGTACTGGATATCCTGTTGGTAACTTGGTTATTAATGTTTATTTTATACAAAATTGATTTCTAGGCCCTCCTTGCATCTCATGGGTCTTTCGGCCATACTGGACTGCTTCTACGCCTAGCCAGGTCCCTCCAGGGAGCATAGACATGTGATTTCTTCCCCCTTTTCCCTAGGGACTTGTGATGGGGACAGATGAGAGGAAGGTTCTTTGGCATTGGTATTCAGGATGCCCTGAAACACATATGCATATGGTCAGTCAGCTGTCTTTCCCTTCACATGCCTTCATCACCAAGCCAAGAAAAGGCCACCCACCCATCTACCGACTCACACTGTCACATAGCACATGCTGGGCACCACACATAGTGCTGGGGTTGAGGTAATGATGATAAACAAGACACAAATAGCCTTTGGCCTCAGGACAGAAGCCGAGTGTTGAAGAAATACCAGCTACACACATAGGAGGTATTACAAAGGAGGCCGTGTTATCAGCTGTGTGGACCCATCTGCCTGAAATTGGTCAGTGTTTCCAAACTCCTGTCTACTGTCCCATCCCAGAAAATGTTACACTCTGGAAATGTTCTGGAAAATGTATAAAAGAACATTCTAAGGGACTCTTCTGAGGAAACTAAGGCCAGGGAGATTGGATCACTTTGAAACAAAAAACTGTAATTAGATGAAGATTTCTTTCCAGTTTAAAAGGTGCCTGTATTAGGGTTCTCTAGAGGTACAGAATGAGACAGACAGATCTTATGACATCTAATAACTCACACAATCAACAAGGTTCCACAGTAGGCTGTCTGCAAGCTGTGGAACAGGAAAGGCAGTCTGAGTCCCCAAACTGAACAACTTGGAATCTGATGTTTGAGGGCAGGAAGGGTCCAGCTCGGGAGAAAGAGGCACGGGGGTAGACTAGGCCTGTCTGGTCTTTTCACACTTTTCTGCCTCCTTTATATCTACCTGCACTGGCAGCTGATTAGATGCTGCCTTTCCCAGCCCACTGGATCAAATGTTAATCTCTGGCAACACCCTCACAGACACACCCAAGATCAATACTTTGCATCCCTCCAACAAGTCGACACTCAGTATTAACCATAGCAGTGCTGAAACATGCTAAGTGGATTATTTCCCAAATGGTCCCTCCAGGGTGTCAAACCATGCTAGCCTGGTGGATTTCACACAATGATTGGAGAATGGGAAAGATGTTCACAGTGTCGGCCTGTTTGTTTGTGAAGCATAAGGGGTATTATTTTCTCCATTGACATTTCTCCCCCGTACGTGTACCCCACCAACTTAGATGCTTCCTGGTCTCAGCAGAACCTGCATGTCTTTTATGTCCAAATTTGTACTCTGTCCTTCGAATAACAAGGTGAGGTCCAGTTATTAAAAAACACTATTAAATTCCTAAACTTTCTTGGCACTGCAGTAGCAGTAATTTTTCAGACTTTAGGCAGGGAAACCAAAAAAAAAAAGACACAATTAGTAATTTGCTAAAGAAGAGCTCTCCTGGACAGCAGCAAATGACTCCGGGGTCTGTTACTTACAGGGGAGTGATATCTGTTTTTTTCCCTCTTCATCTCTTTGCATGTAGGACAGTCAGCCCTGAACTCAAGTCTTACGCGTTGGGAGTTCTTTTTCTCCTCCTTCGTTTGTTAGGTACGTATTCTCTTTATTTCTTCAATAATGAATTGGATGCTTATTATTAGGTAAGTAAATATCAGTGGAATTATCCCATTTCCTGGGTCTGTCTGTCTCTTTTTTCCTTTGAAGTTTAATTATTAGTAAATGAGAAATTTTAAGTCTGAAAATATTGCTCAGAGATAAACTCAGGTGCTGCATGGATAGCACAGAGTTCTCATTTATACCAACTCTTATTGTCACGCCACCCTGAATTCTCATCGGCATAAGGAGGAAAAGTGATGGCACCAAAGGGGAAAAATCTGGTGGTGTAATTTGGCATCCTCATTAAGCAAGCCATGAGCAGCTTGTGAAATGCTTCATTTATGGGGCCGCCAGCTGGGAGAAAGAAAAGTTTCTCACAATGCCTTGAAAATGGAAACTTTGCATCCTTTAAATTTTTCCCAACTGACTTAGTTTGTTTACCTTGAGTTTCTGGGATGGGGCAAATGTGACCTTCATGCTATGTAGGGCCGTGTTTCAAGATTTGGTATGGAATGAAAGACTTAAGTCTATCCCTCTTGTTTTTAAGATAGGCAAAAGGAAGATGAGAAAGTCCATGGTTCACCCAGGGTCCTTCCTGTGCACTGGCTGGGCCTGGTTCCCAGCTGTGCCTACCTCTCTCTTCCTTTATGAGTGTTCTTCGGTTAAGGCTAAGATCAAGATAACTTTTTTCCTTGAATAATACAACAGTCATCTTCCCCAGTGGACTTTAAATGGTATCTGAATGTAGAAAGAAAAACAGCCTGACCTGTATTTTTACAGTAGAAATAAAATTCCTCATTTGAAGTCTATAATTGTGGATAAGCACAAATACCCAGTCATAGAAATGTTTGTAAAAATGGAAAATTGGCAGCAACCCAAAAGCACAACAGCAGGCAATTAGTTAAATCGGTTATGGTCTATAATCGCAGTAGGATTTATGTTCCCCTCTAAAATTCTGGAAAGAAAAACATAGACTTAGAAAGAGCATGTGATATGTGGAAGGGAAAACAAGAGGTCTAAAATATAATAAATACTCAAATATTTTAAATGTATACATAAACAGAAAAATGTGGCAAAAGATACCAAAATAGTATTGACTATTTGAGTAAGAAGGTTACAAATATTTTCTAAATTTGTTTTAAAGTTTTGAATGAAATGTCTATTACTTTCATGAGATTAATATTTATATATTTGATATACAAAAGAAAAATATTAGCCTTTAGATCCATTAAGGTCCTCCCTAAGGAATGGCCAATGCATAGCAAATGTCTCTCCTCATCTCCCTTCTCTATATCAAAAACTTTCCATCAATCTGTGATCATTCCCTCTGTGCCTGGGAGAAGACCTCAGATTGCTCTCAACCACTGTCAATCTATGTTTCTTGGTATATATGAAGCTCATGCTGAGACGGTGCTCCCAGGATGGGGAGAGAGAGGGTTGGGTTGAGAAATAGGAGGAGGTACCTTCATTATTCCAATGGCATTGTCTTACATCTAAGTCATGGAAAATAGAAGTGTTGCAGGTATGAAGATGCACAATTAAAATGAATTCCAAAAAAAAAAAATAAACAAATAAAAAATAAAACGAGTTCAGCACAAATTCAAAGGAAAGCACTTGGGCCTTCCTGGGAAGCTGTAGTAGCTTGCAGAACTGCCAAGGCAGAGTTACATTTGTGCTGATTTTTTTCTGTTATGGGGAGGGTACAATCCGCATACATCCTATGCTCACTGCCTTGTGGGGTGGATCAATAGGTGGATGTGTAATATCAACTAGCACATTGGGACCCTTATTTCTGCAAATGGTAAAGCCATTCCACATATGCATTTGTTCAAGAAGCTAACATTTATTGAAACACTCCTGTGTTCTAAGCCATGGACCATCCCCAGGTAAGTGACCTCAGCTCTGCCCTTATGCATCCTATGGGGCTGGCCAGGGAAGGTAAGAGCGCACCCTCCTAATCTGTGGAGTTGCTGTGGAGGTCTCTGCACCTCTAGACAGATACTAAGGACTCAACGCAACTGGCAGAACATTTTTTTTTTTGGTAGCATAAGATGAAAAAAAAAATGCAAGACATTTCTGAAAAGTAAATGAAAACTATAGGACCGTTGGAAGCAAAAGTGTACATTATGAATCACATTTTGCTGTTAGAATCATCATATAGTGCAATTTGCATGTCTGCCCCACGAATAATCAACCAGGTATTCCCTAAAATAGTGTCTTTCAACTTCTGCAACTGTCATCTAGAGCAAGAGATGGCAAGTTTTACATTATGGCCCACTATTCACAAGCCTATGCGTAGATACTGTGGAAACAAACAAAAAAAAATCATGAAAAAATACTCACTGTAATAGGCATGACACGCTCTGACATGTTCTATTATAGTCTATTCCATGCTTTTAAAAAAGTTGGTCATGACCCACTCTATTGATTTTATTGCCCATTATGAGTCTTAAATTAGAGACTGGAAAACCCTGCTCTAGAAGAATATGACACAGCTTCATGTTTTCATTAGAAGCAGCTCATGGAAGAAGTCTTAGCATTTGGCCTAATTCCCTTTCTTGCAGCACCCAGTAAGATGAACCACCATTACTGTTCATGAAAGGCTGGCAAAGACATCAGATTCTGTGACACTGTCAGCTTTTGTGCTGGCCTTGCAAGGGTAATGGGGATACAATGGGGACATCACAGGTGAATGTGACAGCATTCTTGATGGTGTGGGCAGAGGTGCAATAGGAGTCTGTAGAAGGGCCTCCTCATCTCGCCTTGGGAGGGGGAGCAGTGGGTTTGGGAAGGATGTGATGTCTGTGGTCAGCCCTGGAGCAGTAAGAGTCATACAGATGAACAGGGAGAAGGACTTAAGGGGGAAAAGCCTGGGTGTGAACAAGGCCCAGACTGGGGGGAAAAGGGGACAGCAGAAAATGGATGTGGAGAGGAAGTGGATCAGGAAGTTGGTAAGAAACGGCTTCTGCCCCGTTGGTGAGTTTGACCTTTATCTCTAAGGCAAATGAAAGTTGTAGATGGGCTTTAACCAGAGAGTGGCAGGATCCGCTGTGTATTTTAGAAAGCGCTTGTCTGCCATGTGGAGAATGAGAACATAGCTGGAGAAGTTGCTGCTGTAATGGAGTGAATGACGGAGGCTCGTGCTGAGATGGTGCTTTCAGGATGGGGAGAGGGTAGGGTTGAGAAACACGAGGAGGAGCAAAAGGACTGGAGTCTCAGAAAGGGGAACTCACAGTGCCCACTCCTAAGAAAGGCTTGGGTCCTGTGGTGAACACGGAACCATTCACGAGAAGGAGAAAGGATGTGGAGCAAACTGGGCGTGGTGTGGACCAGCACTCTCCAGTGGAACCTGCCGTGGTGATAGAAATGTTCTCTGTAGTACCACAGGTGCTATTGCACACTGGAAATGCGGCTGCTGTAGACCACTTACTTGTATTAGTTTTCCTGTAAGTAGCCGTACTGCACAATGAGGGGGCCGTCTTTGATGCACCGCCCGCATGGGTCAGAGTGAGGAAGTGGAACAGGGGCATGGGATGACCCTCTTTCCAGACACTTGGCTGTAAGTGAAGAGGGCAGGAGCTAGAAATGGGTGCAAGATTGGCCTCCCTTGTTGCTTTACACGCCAACGGCAAGGAGTTGGTAGAAGGCGCCAGGCCAGGGCCTGCAGAGGCACTGGTCAGCGTGGTGGGGGGAGTGGCACTGGTCAGTGTGGCGCTGGGAGTGGCCCCAGCACCCTGGAGCAGAAGCAGGAGTGTGGCCGGCGTGGCGACAGGAGAGTGGAGCAAAGAAGCTGAGGATGATGATGAGAGGGGCTGAGATGGGAGGAAGGAGAGAGGACAAAGATCCCGGAACTGTAAACACGAGTTGTCATCAATAATGGAAAAAGAGAAGTGGAGGCTGGGCCCAGAGCCTCATTGTCTGACTTGAAGATTATGGAAGTGGAGCAGTTCTGACCAATGACACAGCCCAGGGTGTTGCTGGCCAGAGAGGGACGGGGGTAAAGAACCTCGATGTTGAGAACGAGTTATCGAAAGGCTCACGTGGACAAGTTCTGTCATCCAGTACAGTGGCAGGAGGTGAGGAGGGGAGGAAGAGACTGACCAGAAGAAGGGTCAGTGCATTGAGAGTAAACAGAACAATCTACTCATGGCAGAATTCCTGGCATAATCGAGTCCATCCTGCTTTATTCTTCTACTAGTGTGTTAGCCACTGCTTTTCTCTCCAGGCTGTGGGCAAACTCCCTGCTCCTGGGGCCTACTGCATGCCAGGATGCTACACCAAATTAAATGAGTGGAAACAAACATGGACAGAGATTGTTCCACATCCAAGATGCTGTCTAGGGGCTGCTCAGGGTATACAGATAAGTGGGTGCCAATATCCCGCCTCCGGTGACTCCATAGGAGAACGAGGCAAGTGTGGGGAACGTGTGGGGTTAGAAAAAGCTATAGAGGACTTCGATTTCCAAGGGGAGAAAGTATACTTGGCTGAGTAGTTGCCAGTGTGGAGCAAATGAGGGTTTCAGGTGGGAGAGTAAACATACGTTCAGAATTTTGCTGGAGGTAGAGCAGCCGGTGAGCAGGGCATAAGGTAGCAGGATGCCTGATAACCCATTAAAAGCATTCAGGTGAGAAGCTAGCTCCCAGCAATGCAGTGGGTTCAAAAGGCAAAGACAGATGGGAGCCACATAGTGAGGCGGCATCCACAGAGGCTCCCCACCCAGTGGACCTAAGTGAAAGCAAAAGAGAAGCAACAAAATCTCAAGATGAAGCTGAAGTTGGAGCCTCTAGGACTGGTGGAGCAGCCTTTAATAGAATAAAGTGAGAGACGCAATGGATCAAGTGTCTCAGGATATCATCAGGGATGGGCTTAGCTTCCGCAGTAACACCACAAGCTCTCCATACACTAACCCTACCTCTTAGTTTTCCAGCGTGCCTGCCTGGTCAAAAGCATGGGGAAGGCCCTTGGGGTGCATCTCTGTAGGCAGGCGTCATTCC